ACGAGAAGAATGGCAACGCTTGCTTCGTGACATCGAGCTCCCCCCTACCTTCCCTGATGGCGAGGTGCAGCGGCAAGCAGATGATCCCCTTCAGCGATGAGATCCCTGGGGCGCTGCGACGCCCATGGACGCGCCTGGGACTCCAGCAGCGGCTGCTTCGCAGGCAGGCGCTGGCACCTCCGTCCTCGAACCCATTCCCATCGAAGATCGCCTCTCCGCCGTCTTCCCGGATTGTATGCCACGAGCAACGCGGCGCCTTCAACGATATTCTACCGCCAGTATGCAGCCAGCTACTTCCGCATTGCAGAGCGAGTTCAAGTTTGCCACTTACCAGGTGCAGCAGCAGAGCCAGCGCGTCGACGGCATCGACACTTGCGTGCGCGACCTCGGCAGCCGCGCGCAGATGGTCGAGCAGTAACGACAGTAGCTCATGGCGGACATCGAGCGCATCCAGCCGTCCCTCGCCATGACCGAGGCATTGCTCCCGCCGCTGGGCATGGCTGCGCTTGCCGCGTGGGATAGGCCGCTTGGCCCTCGCCCACCTCTACAGCATTGGGGCTCCCTCCGCAGTCCATCCTTCTGAGGTCCGTCGCTCGCTTGAGATGTGGCTCTTGGCAACAGCTGTCTCCATCAGTGACGTCGAGTTCATCGGCCATGTGCCCGCTCGGAGGTTTTTTTTTCCACCGCGTGCTCGGTGGGCCAGCAGCCTCTTCCAGGAGTGCATCTCTTGCCCGCAACTTACGCACTGCTGGTCAATGGAGAACACGTGCACTGCCCAATACTTCAGGAACGACGCGCCTCTTTGCATCAAGGCAGACGAACCGCCTACAGTTGCGAAGATACTTACAAACAAAACGTTCGGCCATGTTCCTTTCAGAGCGTCGTCCCGCGCACCGCGTTCGCAAGGTCGGCAAGGAGGGCGTCATCTCCAGCGACTCGATCCCGCCCGCGGCCCTCGAGGTTGGTGCCAGCGCAGCAGGCAGTGCACAACTGCGGTGGAATGGACAGACCGGTTGTCCAGCGGCTGAGTCTGGACAAGGCCGCAGTCGCCGCTGAATTCTTGCGTCTCTTTCGGGCCACCGACTCATAGCTGCGCATCCCGCCCGCCTGGCAGAGGCGCCGCACGAAAGACATCATGATGGAGGCTGCTCATCATATTCGAGGTGTTGTCAGCGATCGCCACTTCGACCAAATGGCCGCAGGGCTCAGCGCACTCGTGATCCCAGGGGAGCTGCTGCTCATCTCAAACACACTTCCTTCGCATCGTACAAACATATCTCGGCACCCAAGTCGGATCAAGAGCGACTGGGGCCGCCGGCGGGACTGATGCCGCTCGCGAGTGGTGGGCGCGCACGCGTGAGCTTCCAACGGCAGACAGCCCAGCTAGCGTAAATCTCGTGTTATATTGCAGCATTGCTCTGTCGTTGCTGGCTGGCATTTCCTGCGCAGCGTTGCCCAATCCTGCGGCGGGTGTTGCTGACGGAGAAAGTCGCACTACATAATGTTCTACGCCTGCCACCGAGCACATTTCGGAATGCGGATCTTTTTGCGTCCAACGATCATGCGCCCGCCCCTTCAGCCTCCGCGCAGATTCTGAGCAGTCCGAGTCTTTGACCCCCTGCGCATTACCTCTGTCGGACCGGGAAGCAGCTTTTCGCCCCTGGCCAGAGCAGGCGGCGAGTGACCCCCCGCTTGCGGCATGGATCCAGCAGAGGGGGGACGTTCCCAGCTGGAAGATGTCGCAAAGAGTATTTCCACTGTTTCAGTCATTTCAGGATCACGCCCGCGATCTAAGCATCGAAGCCACGCAATGGAGGAATGCCACTTCTTCGGCCCGCGTTGACATTGCGTGAAGGCTTGGGGAACGGTGGAGGGAGTGTCTCGCTGGCCTTCTAGCGCTCCGTCTGTCTTGGCAATGTGCAGTGCTCAGTGCCCTCGCAGGAGGGTGGACGATCACGCACCGCACGTACGTCAATGGCACCGACAGATATGCCCGACGCGATAGCCATTACGTACTTTCTCCTGTCTCGAACCTCGTCGCCTCATTGGCTTCTCCACCTCTCCCGTTCACATGCTGGTCCTCGCGGCCCTGAACGAATACGTTTCCGCCGTCTGTGCGATGAACCGAGCTGGAGCGCTGACGTTTTGTGTATTGGCGCTCCGTGTGCACCACGAGGCCAAGGCAGTGCATGAGCCAGGCCAATCGCTGCGCGACGTGCAGCCTATTAGCGTCCTTGCAGCGGCCTGTCACTCCTCTTTCAGACAGGCTGCTGGTTGACGAACCATGTGATAGATACGATCGGTCATGATCATCATCGTCTCCCGGATCCTCCTCAGCATCATCATCCTCATGGTCATCCGCATCATCACCATCATTATCACCATCCGCCACCTCATCATCATTTGCACACTTACCATGTTCATCATGTTCACCATCATCATCACCATGGGCATCGTCATCCTGAACATTATTATGATCCCTATTCTGGGAAATCGGGTGGACCACGTCTGACTTTGTCAGTGCGCGCAAAGAGTTGTCTTCTTGGGCCGCAAACGATCCACTCAGATGCGATTTGGTAATCCAGCTGGGGCCGCGATTGCGTTTCGATGCCATCAGGTTCGATTCGGTGGAATCGGCCGGGGCCAGTCTGAGCCGGGCGCGGTCATCTGATTTCGAGTCTATGTTCGAAGATATGCTGGCGGTCCGACCCGTCCCTGGTCCGTCTCGCGATTTGTTTCAGCTCGGGCTTGCTTCTTCAGAATCGGAGGCGAGCAGGCTGGCACCAATTCTAGTATTGGCGGCTGCCTTCACCGAAGGAAGATGATCCCGATTTGGGCGATGGTGGTAATATTCGAGCTTCCAAATGTCCGAAATATAACCACCAACGCCAGTACCTGAGATCATCCTCCCCTGGTGGAGACACCCCCTTGTGTTGGTATGGCTGCCAGTGTCCCAGATTTCTGACAGCGTTTTTCTCACAATGCGCACGCCCAGAGGTCTAGACCCCTTCCCCTGGGAACGGTTTTCACCCCGGGCCGTTTTTTTGACAGTCCCAGGGCCCGGTGAGGGCCCCCCAGAGGCTGAACATTGCCGAACACCTCCCGTCGTCTTTTTTTTTTCGCAGCGAGTGGAGGTGGGGTCACAGGCCTCCAACTATTGGCAACAGACATGGTTCCTTATCCTCTGGCGCGTGACGGTCTTCACCTGGGCCAATCCCTTCCCCCCCCTCCTGGGTAACGGTAAAGATTGTAGGTGTGGGGGGGGGAGTGGACCACCCCCCACATGTTGTATCGCAGCGCCGCCCGCATCCCCCAAGAGAGCGCGGGGGTTCCACAGGGTTCAGAGGGGGACGCGTCTTGCCACGAGGTGCTCCGGCCTCTCCGAAAGAAAGAGGCACGTCCCTCGCCGTGCCGCCCTTGTCGCTCGCCGCCACCGACCCAATATCTCTGATCTAGGCCTTCCAGATGGTGTGAGAGTAGGTGGGGTCGTCGGGGGGCAAAGCAACATCGATGACACGCCGCCGTGAGGGCCCCATCAGCGTGTCATCAGCGTGAGCATTATCGATGACACGCCGCCGTGACGGAACACCAAATCTTCGGACGGACACGACAGAGTAACACGTTGGCGGCCTACCAACGGCAGCGTGTCATTACGATTCTTTCTCTTGATGTCGGAGGAGTGCGCCGCATCGCCGATGCGTCGGCGATGCGGCTGCTTGTGGAACCCGATGTTATCCGCGGAGACGTCGCGGGTGCATCGCTGATGTCGCCGGTGCATCGGCGATGCGGCGCGATCCTCCGACCCCATCAACTCTGACCCCATTTGGGAGGCCTCTATCTGACGATGTGTCTTTTCAATCTGGGAGTTTTACCTCGATGATGGCATCTAGGGCACGTCATCGGGACGCATGACCATCAAAAGTGGATCCGGAGCGATTGACCAGCACCGGGGAAGGGGTCGGAACCTCTGGGACTGCGCATCGAAAACGCCAGAGCGTCGGATGGATGGCCTGGTCGCCAGTCATCCAGCGCGACCTTGAGGCTCGTGTGTGCTGCCTGCTGGGAACTCGTCGCCGCGGGCGGTGTCGCTCGTCGTCTGGTTCCGGACAGCGGCGACGTCAACGGACCGCCTCACCGATCCTGGCTGGGCCCATCCTGGGCCCAGGATTCACGTTTGCGCCCTCTTGGTAGGGCCCAGGGAGGCGCAGGCATAGTCCATAGTGCAGCTTCGGCCACGATCCCAGCCATAGTCCAGGCCGGGCCCAGGAGCGGTGGTCCGTTGACGTCATCCGATCCTGGCCAAGATGCCCCTGCCTTCTCAGGAGGGCATCTCCCTCGCAGTCGCCCCCTGTCGTTCGCCACCGCTGCCAGGGCCCATTTTCCGATCCGATCGATCCCGCTCCATGTCGATTTCGGCCGGCCCGATCCGATTCGATTCGATTCCGAGGATTGTTCCGACGATCCGATGCGTACCATTGCTTGCACGGCTTGTTGTTCTCCCTGGCGCGGCCGATCGCGTTCGATGTCGACCCCGTGCCGATGAAACACGATCCGATGCACTCGCGTGGGACGAAAAGGAGGGGGGGACAGGGAAACGGTGGGGGGCGGTACGAAATTTGGAGCATGTAGCTGGATCGGCGCGATGAGCGGCGCGGGGAACAGCATCGATGGCACAACAACTGAGGTATCTCCAGGGGCCAGCCTGCGGTCTCAAGATGATTTTCTTGACCCACGGTTTTCCTCGCTGCATCACCCATAGGCATACAGCACGAACAACGCGGACAGACATGCGCAACGCAAGGACGCGCAGTAAAGGGCACATGGCAGGCGCAGTATCGACAGTACTCTCAGCGCCCCTCTGTATTTGCCCATTCGCTGCTTCTTCGAAAGACGGTTCCACGATATGTTGACGGCAAGGGGGTAAGTGCGCCCGCTGTGCGACGCTGCAGTCATGGGATCGGGTAAACGAGTTGCTGTTGCTGCCAGCCGCATTTGCACAGGCGGGGCTCCGCCCCATGTTCGCGAACAAGGACTCTATGAAGGAGAAAGTGTGGGAGGCCCTCAAGAAAAAGGAGTACAACGTTGCGGACTTCTACCACAAGACAGGCATCTGGCGAACCATCGCCACGAACCCGGTCTTCGAGAATATTACGTTGTTGGTGATATTCGTCAACGCGCTTTGGATTGCCATCGACACCGACATGAATCCAGCGTCAACGCTGCTTGATGCCGAGCCGATATTTCAGATAGTGGACCACGCCTTCTGCTGGTATTTTTCCTTCGAGTGGTACGTCCGGTTCAGTGCGTTCAAACGCAAGAGAGACGGGATGAAGGACGCCTGGTTCTGCTTCGACTCGTGTCTGGTGTTCATGATGGTCGCTGAGACGTGGGCGACCGGCAGTCTTGGAACAACAGGGGCCTCGGGAGACTCCAGTTTGGCGCTTCCCCAGCGCAAGGCACCCGCATGGAAGGTATAGAGCAGATACGCGATACCCGCGTGGACTTCCAGAAGTGTAAGGCGATGTCGTGTTTTTAACGCTAGATAACCGGGGGGATATCAAGGCTGGTACCGAACTCTCCCCGATCTTGCGCCCCCGCTTGTCCTTTTTCTTCTTTTTCTTCTTCGTGGTAGTCTTCATTTTCGTCCTCGTCTTCCTCTTCTTCTGTTTCTTCTTCTTCTTCTTCTTCTTCTTCTTCTTTCAAGGCGTTCCCTGGCCCTGGCCTCCCCTCGTCCGCGCACGTGCCTCGGGCCATGATGTGCTGGCCCCCCTCCTCCTGGCCCCCATTTGTCGTCGCGCCCGATCCCCAGGCCCTGGGCAGCAAGAACTCCACGACCAGGCACTTTTAGAGGTCCGCGCGGATTGCTTGGATCGGCGCTGGGCCCCCTCCCTTGGCGCGCCGCGGAGCACGTTAGGAACGGCGCCAGAGGTGCCGCCAGGGGGGTCCGGAGCCGACCCAAGATTCCGCGCGGACCTCCGAAAGTGCATGCTTGTGCCTGCAGGAAGCTGTATGCTTCTTCTTCTTCTCATGCCCCATTGGCTATCACAACCAGCCCCGCACGCGATTTCTAGCCCAGCCGACATGTTGGATGTCGTGACCCCTTGCCCCAGGCTCGTAGGAGGTTTTTTTTAAGCTAGGGGCTGGGGAGCCCCAAGACGCTCCTAAAGCGGCCCTTGAGGCCCCAAGAAGACCCAAAAGCGGCCTTACAGGGCCCAGCAAGGCTCATATACGTTTCAGGGGCAACGTGAGGATGGGATAGGCTAAAGGGGGGACGCATCGACCCAGCATCGCCCATTTATCGACGATAGGGGCCTCATAGCCCATCCCGCACATAGCCACGAAGACCAGCTTAATCAGGCATACTCCTGTCCAATTTCGCTCAATCCAGCTTATCCTGGGCTTCATCTGTGCTGATCTGGCTTGATGGCCCTTCATTTACAGGGTTCAATCGCCTTGATTCGTTCTTGCGAAGATCGAGATTGGCCAAGATGAGAGTGATGACTAGAGGGGGAGGGTGGACGTCATGGCTGGGGCCATGAGATCTCCCCATATTGAATGCCCTTCTCTTTCTACTCCCAGAGCGTCCCACACCCCTCGTCCGCTCACATGCCTCGGGCCATGATTTGCTACCCCCCCCTCTTGGACGCCCCGCTCCCCTCTTGGACCCTCAGACGCCCCCGAGGAGACCTCCCAGGAGGTGGCCCCCAAATGTTTTTTTTCTCTGTTTCTCTGTCTGTCTGTCTGCTCGCAAGTCTCTCCAGGTGATGACAATCGTTCTGCTGTGCCTCGACAGCGGCGGCGGGGGCGGCCTGGGCGGCGCCTCGATCCTCCGACTGTTCCGGCTACTGCGGCTTTCCCGCCTGGCGCGGATGTTGCGGTCTGTGCTTGGGCTGACGCTCTCGATCCTATCTCTTTCTGCTCCACCACGGGGTGAATGGCAACGAGGTGCGTGAGGCGGAGAAGGAGGATGAGGAGGAGAAGGATGAGGAGGAGGACGAGAGGAGGGAGACGAACGCTACATCCGGGTCCCAGATATGTCACCCACCCGCAGGCATGTACGTTTTCGGAGTGCATGCTATCATGGTGTAAGTCGTATTTCGGTTCCCTGTGCCTTTGCAGAGCGAGATGCATGTATTTGCATCCGCGCGTCGTATGACAAAGAATATCGCGTGCAACGAGGACAGATTGCGTTCTTCCCGGTCTTTCCTGTCAATTTCGGAGTGGTTGGGCGCGCCAGGCGGAGCAGTCCACGACGGACCTCCAGCGTTCGCGCCGCATTCGCAATTCATTATCTTTCCGCGGGTGGGGTATACTCGTGGGTGGGGCACGGTCGTGGGTGGGGTCTATCCGTGGGTGGGTGGAGTACGGGCCTATCCCAGGGCTCATGCAATGGGCCCTTCGGGCGCCTAGAGCGGATGTCAACTGTGCTTTTCGAAACAAGGGCCCAGTCATGTTTAGTTTCTGTGGCCCCAGCGGGGGTGGGGTGATAATTAGCCCGCGCGTCAAGAATTCGCCGCACCCCAAAAAGGAGGAGGGAGAGTTGGAAGAGGAGGAGGAGGACCAGTGTAAGCCCAAGACCCATCAAAGATATGTCACTAACCCCCCCTTCCAAGTTCCATCTTCATAGGCACCTACACTTATTCATTTTCCATGGGGGAAGACGCCCATTGGAAGACAATGTTGAAATTCCGGAACTGCGCCAAACCATTTGTTCTTGTAAAATCAATGCCGCGAATTACCGTTACTATTGCGTTTTGGTGTTCCTGAAAAGACGATTGTTTATGCGCGGCGTAAAGGCGAGAGCTACATGTCGAAAAGGAACCGACCTCAATTCGTGAATATTCTGCAAACTTGTCAGGCGAATGTGCGCGGCGCAAAGGCGAGGGCCACACAAAAAAGCGCCCCCCATCGGCGAAGTTCTTGACAATTTTTTAGGACGAATGTGCGCGGCGCTAATGCTGGAGCCACAGTTTGAAAATTGGCCGCCTTCCATCCGCGAAGCTTCCGCACGAATGCGCGGGGAGTTGAGGCGAGAGTCACATTTCGAAAACGAGCCGCCCTCCATCCGTGAAGCTGGTGGGGAAGTCTCAGGGGAAACGTCGGGCCCGCCCTTTCGACCGGCCTCGAAGTGCGACAGGGAGGAGGTATATACAAGGAGAAATAATGGTGGAGGAGGGGTAGGAAGAGGAAGATGGGAGGAGGGTTGCGGGGGGAGTAGAAGGGGGGAGGAGGAGTCCTCGTCGTGGTCCTCCGTTTCCTCCTTGCCCCCCCCCCTCCTTCCCCTTCCTGTCCCCCTCGTCCTCATCTTCCCGCCATGCCGCTCGATGCTCTTCCCTCCTGCTCCCCAATCTGCCTCGTCCGCCTAACCGCCCATCTCCTCAGAGTCCTCATCCCCCTCTTCACCAGGAGGTGGTGCCATGAGGTGCCCACTGGAGTGTCTCCGGAGGGGCCGTCTCCAGGCTTGTGCGTCTCCCGCCTGAAGGGCCCCCCATTCTCAGTGATAAGTCGCTGTTCTGTCTCGTAGCTCAGGAAGACTTTGGATCCGACAGTTATTTGCTCTTGTTCCTCTTCACCGTGTTCTGAACGTCTCGTCACGGTAAGCGGCCCAATCGTAAGTGTCAGGCGTTCTTAGGACAGACCGCACTCTTTTGTAGAGTTGCTTCTCGCCGCCGGATTTTGGATGATACCTCTCCGAGTGTGGGTGTAGCGTCTTCCGACTCCACGGTAGTACACACACTATTCTCGGACCCAGGCAGCCCCCTATTGTGAGCAGCGGGTGGCGTTTTGGCAGAGAGAATCCGTATCAGAGAAGCCTCTGGCCAAGGCCAATAATTGTGCGTAGTTTCTGTGCCAAATATCACAAGCTTACGGCTAGTGCCACCGACCCTGAAGGCGGACGACGACGACGACGACCACGACGACGACGACGACGACGACGACGACGACGACGACGACGACGACCATGATGACGACGACGACGCTGACGCCCTGGAGCCGAAAGCTTCTCCCAGGGAGGGGCGTTCCCGCAGGGGAGGGGGTCACAGCTGCCAGGACCCCGTCGCGGCCCTCGGCGAGCGAAGCCCTCCTCCCCCCCCCCCCTCCTCCGCCTCTGCCGCCCCCTCCTCCCCCTCCTCCGCCTTCCCCTCCTCCGCCTCCGCTCCCGCTTCCTCCTCCTCCTCCTCCTCCTCCTCCTCCTCCTTCCTCCTCCTCCTCCTCCTCCTCCTCCTCTTCCTCCTCTTCCTCCTCTTCCTCCTCTTCCTCCTCCTCTTCCTCCTCCTCCTCCTCCGCCTCCGCCTCCTCCTCCTCCGCCTCCGCCTCCTCAGTCTCCTCCATCGTTGCAATGAGTCCCAGCCCCGAGCCAAACCGCCGGGTCGGTTGTGGAGGCCGCCGCGGCGTGCCGCCGCAGCCCTCGGGGCAATGCTCCCGTCAAGGAGTGGCGTGCCCCTTTCACAGACCCCCCCCCAGCTCTGCGATGTAGACGTGGCTCGGAATTTCTAGGCCTCGCAGATGTGGTCCGCATCGATGGGGTATGAGGATCACGCAGCATCGCCAATGCATCGACGATGCCGCTCGATGTGGAGCCGGTGTTTCCCCACGCCGACGTCGCCGATGCATCGCCGATAAATCGGCGATGCATCTGCGATGCTGTGCAACCCTCCGACCCCATCTTCTCCGAACCCATCGAGGAGGCTGCTGTGATTAGAAATATGGCGACAGAGAGTTGTCACTCCCTGTGCAACATGGGCAGTCCTTCTTTGGGCATGGGTCGGCCGCGCGCAGAGGGGGGTAGGCGGAGAGGGGGGGAAGGCCTCTTGAAAGGAGGCTGCCTCTTAGAAGGCACCGGCCTCACATCTACAGAGAAGGCCCGCGCCTTCTAAGAAGCAGGGGTGTTTTCAAGAATCCCTCGCCCCCTCCCCCTACCCCCCTCTGCGCGCCGCCAATGAGGGTCCATTTTCGCGCGAGCCGCCCCGCACCAACCTTTGTGCTAGATTATGCTCAGCGCTGCGCGCTCTCCCCGTCGGGGCGTGCCACCCCTCTCCGTCCCTTTCCTCCCCCGCGGCTCCCGGTCGGCGCCAATGGTCGGGATCGTCCTCCATCCCTCCTCGTTCTCCTTCGGCGGCGAAGTCCGAACACTACCCTCGCCGATCCTGGATTCAGGCAACTCGATGGGCGGCGGGGGTAGGGTTCGGGATTCGTCAAACACGTTGCGAAGTCTGGACCCTGCCCCCGCCTCCCATCGAGCAAGGAGAGTTGATGGTTGGTGGGGTAGGATTCGGATGCCACCTCCTCTCGCGGTCCATGCCGGAGCTGATGATCCTGATCAAGGGGATGTTGGCCGCCTCCCGCTCTGTCTTTTTCACCATGTGTTTGCTGGTCATCCTCCTGTACCTCTTCGCGATAGCGCTGAGGCAGATCACGGAGGGCAGCGAGGTCGGCGAGATGTGGTTTCACAGCGTCCCCGCTGCCATGTATAAGCTTCTCATCGAGGGCGTGTTCCTGGATAACCTCGGGGCAACGGCGGACACGATCGCTGAGAGCAGTCCCGTGTTCGCCGTCGTCTTCTTTATTTTCGTGTGCATGGCCGCCCTCATGGTGATGAATCCCGATGGTTCCGCCTTTGCCGCCAGCTTCCCCGCTGATGGGGACTCCTGGCTCGGGAGCCGCCAGGTGGAGCGCGCCTCGGGACCCTCTTGGGGCTTCCTGGGGCCATCATGGGTGGTCTTTCGGGAGTCTTCGGAAGTCTCGGGGTCTTTCGCTGCCATCCTTGAGGTACCTCGTGTCCTCGTGCTCCAGGTTCGTACCCTTCCTTTCTGCCCGGGGGAGGTGGATGGAGGCAGGGACGGGGGAGAGGAGGATAGAAGTGAGTGTGGGGGGTCGAGGAGGGGTTGGAGGGGGGGTTGGTAACAACGCTTTATGTGGGCGGCGATTGATGTGAGTGTGAGAAGGTTCCGTAAATCACCCACGCGGGCGCGGAGATGCTCGCGCTTCGAGCGTCGCGGCCCTGGGCCACAGCGGCAACTTCTGTCCAGGAAGGGACGCTGCGAGCTCGCGAGGGCGCGGAGAGAATCGTGCGTCGCGGAGCACGGGGCGCGGCGCGCGAAGTCGGCAGTCGTCGTCGTCGTCGCCGTCGTCGTCGTCGTCGTCGTTGTCCGTCGTCGTCGCCGCCGTCGTCGTCGTCCGTCGTCGTCGTCGTTGTAGTCGTCCTCGTCGTCGTCGTCGTTCGTCGTCGTCCGTCGTCGTTTCCGTCCGTCGTCGTCCGTGGTAGTCGTCGTCGTCGTTGTCGTCGTCATCGTCGTCCGTCGTCGTAGTCGTCTTTCGTCGTCGTCCGTCGTCGTCGTCGTCGTCGTGGTCGTCGTCGTGGTCGTCGTCGTCGTGGTCGTCGTCGTGGTCGTCGTCATTGTCGGTCGTCGTCGTCCGTCATCGCCATCGTCGTCCTCGTCGTGATTGTCGTCATCGTCGGCGTCCGTCGTCGTCGTCATCGACGTCGTCGTCGTGGTCGTGGTCGTCGTCGTGGCTGTTGTTGTCGTCTTCGTCGTCCGTCGTCGTCGTCGTCTGCCGTCGTCGTCGTCGTCGCGGTCGTCGTTGTCGTGGTTGTCGTCGTCGTCGTGTCGTCGTCGTCGTCCATCGTCGTTGTCGTCGTCGTCGTGGTCGTGGTTGTCGTCGTCGTCGTCATGGTCGTCCGTCGTCGTCGTCGTCGTCGTTCGTCGTTGTCGTGGTTCTCGTCGTCGTCGTCAGTCGTCGTCGTCGTCGTCGTCGTGGTCGTGGTCGTCGTTGTCGTCGTCGTCGTCCGTCATCGCCATCGTCGTCGTCCGTTGTCCGTCGTCGTCGTCCTTCGTCGTCGTCATCCGCCGCCGCCGTCGTCGTCCGTCGTCGTCCATGGTCGTCGTCCGTCGTCATTGTCGTCGTCGTCGTCGTTCGTCGTCGTCGTCCTCGTCGCCGCCGCCGTCGTCGTCGTCGTGGTTGACGTCGTCGTTGTCGTGGTTCTCGTCGTCGTCGTCCGTCGTCGTGTTCGTCCGTCGTCGGTCGTGGTAGTCGTCGTCGTCGTCGTCGTCGTCGTCGTCGGACGCCGTCCTCGTCGTCGTCGTGGTCGTCGCCGTCGTTGTCGTCGTCGTCTGTCGTAGTCGTGGTCGTCGTCGTCGTCACCGCCGTGAACGTCGTCGTCCTCGTTGTCGTCGTCGTCATCGTGGTCGTCGTCGTCCGTCGTCGTCGTCGTCTTCATGGTCGTTGTCGTCGTCGTTGTCGTCATCGTGCGTCGTCGTCGTCTTCCGTGGTCCGTCGTCGTCGTCCGACAGCGTCGTCGTCGTCGTCCGCCGTCGTCGTCGTCCGTCGTTGTCCGTGGTCGTCGTCGCCGTCGTAGTCTTCGTCGTCGTTGTCCGTCGTTGTTGTCGTCCGTCGTCGTCCGAGGTAGTCGTCGTAATCGTCGTTGTCGTCGCCCGCCGTCGTCGTCGTTGTCGTCGTCGTGGTTGTCGTGGTTGTCGTGGTTTTCGTCGTCGTGGTTGTCGTCGTCGTAGTCGTCGTCGTCGTCGCCCGTCGTCATTGTCGTCGTCGTCCGTGGTAGTCGTCGTCGTCGTCGTCGTCGTCGTCGTCCGTCATCGCCATCGTCGTCCGTCGTCCGTCGTCGTCGTCCGTTGTCGTCGTCGTCGTCGTCGTCGTCGTCGTCCGTCCTCCGTCGTCCTTGTCGTCCGCCGTCGTCGTCGTCCGTCGTCGTCCGTGGTCTTCGTCGTCGTCGTGGTCGCGGTCGTTGTCGTTGTCGTCTTTCGATGTCGTCTCTCGTCGTCGTCGTCGTTTGTTGGCCGAGGCAGTCTTCGTTGGCAGAGGGGCCGCAGGGAGGGCTCCGGTCCCTTCACACAGTCTCGAGGCGCTGACATCAGGGCCAGTTTTGGACTCGGGAGGGGCTCTGCCAGGCGGGGCTCGGACGAGGATCGATTCATGCCAGAGCGTTCCGGGGAACGCTCTCAGGGCGTGCTGGAGCGCTCGGAGAAGACTGCGGCGCCCGAGGATGGCCTCCAGAGCCGCCTGATCTCAGAGGTTCCCCATCTATCCTCGCCCGAGTTCGTCTCCGTCCTAGCTCCGGCCTGCTGCTGGTATGGTTTCCTGGCTGCTCCTCAGATCTTGGTCAGGGAGCCCGCCAGCAGTCGAGGCTCACCGTGGCCAGCAAAAGTGGTGTCGCTGCGCATTCAGCATCCGTGACAGTCGGGGCGCTGACCTAAGGAACCCTAAATATGGAACGAGGCCCTTTTTTCCCATCAGTTAAAGTTCGATTTCGTATCGAAAACCTAAGGAAACTCTAAGGCAAGCTGCGAAACAATTAAGGAACACGGAGCCCCTTCCACAACGAAAAGCGTTCCTTCTTCAAGGCCCCGACGATACAGTCGACCCGCACAGTAAGGATGAGCAACCCTGCCAAGGGCACCTTTGCATCCGTGCCTCCTCGCTCCATCCTTAGCCCATGGCCGCGCCCAGCTCGAGAAGCTTCGAAATGGGCGTCCAAGGCCCTGGCATCCTGATCGCTCATCCTTACTGTATGGGCTGACTGTGTGGTAGCAGGGTGACTGGTGTAACCTAAGGACCCTTTCCCAGACCGTCTGGGCACTTCCTCTGATCTTTTCATGACTTGATCCCCCGAGGTCTCGATCCGGTCCGCGGGACCGAGGCCGGACGGCACCTGGAGGCCGCACGTAGCCAAAGCCTTCCATCGTGTTTCTGTCCCACGGCGCGAGGGGGTCGGGGTCCCCCGTGGCAGCACCGTGTGCTGGGCCACCAGGCGTGGCCTGTGGGCGCAGCGACGCAGCCCGTGGCACCTCGGGCGCGGCCTGGGGCGCAGCCCTTGGGCGCGCAGCCCTTTGCCACCCACCTTCGGTCCGACCACATAGTCAACCCGCGTCAACCGGCATAGTAAGAATGGGTAATTTTCCTAAGTTGACCCTTGCATCCTTGCCTCCTCGGGCCATCCTTAGCGGCTCTCGCTGGCCAGCCTCGTTCGAAGAAAGTCGATACGGCTCTCCAGGGCCATTGCAGCCAAACTATAGGGCTTGATTGCATGGCCGGCGGCGAGCCCAGGGGGGAAGGGAGAAGGGTCAGGCCTTCTCAGAAGGATCGGGAGCCCCCCGACCTTCTAAGAAGTGTTGTAAGCCTTCACCGAATACGCAGAGAACTTCTCAGAAGGCGCGAGGGCTTCTGAGACGCCCCCTGCTTCCCCAGAAGGCTTTCCCCTTCTCATTTCCGTCCCTCGCTCGCCGCCGACATGCCTGGGGGGCCTCGTACCATGTCGACACGGTGGCGACCCCAGCACGGGCGGTCCAATCGTAACGCCGCCAGCGGGCTGGACTCGGTCGATATGAAACGATCTGGCGATCGGCAAGCCGCCGTCGGTCGTTCGAGGAGAAGGAGGAGGAGGACGAGGAAGAGGAGGAGGAGGACGAGGACGAGGTCGAGGACGAGGAGGAGCGCGTTGGATGATCCGCGCGTTGTCAGAAAACACACGCACCGGGTCATCACGGCACGATCCTGCGGGACCGGGCCGTCAGGCGCAGCTCTTGTGGGCGCAGAACGACGCAGCCTGGGACACCCAGGGGTCTCTGGGTCCTCGGGCGGCGGCCTGTGGCGCAGCCCGCGGGCGCAGCTTGTGCCACCTTAGCTTGCAGTCCAACAGCTGCGTACAAACAGAAGCATCAACATTACCATAACTTCCTTCGCCTGCTATGGGGGGTCAGCCTTCTGGGGGATCAGGAAAAGGTAGACTCAATTTCGCTGATTTTCCTCACTCGGGGTCCTATGTTTATCAAAAGCGATGCCTTCATTGCCTTTTTTCAGGGGCAAGTCTTTTGAAAAGACTTACAGAACATCAGTTTTCCTTTTTTTGCACTTCGCTGACTCTGACCCCAGTAGTCTGACCCCATCAGCAGGCGAGTGGTGAGTCAGAGAAGAAATATGTACCGGTGCCCTCGATCTTTCGCCGTTCTGAGGGCCTCATGGGAGGCCCTCGTCGCCAGGGCGGGGTTCGCCTCGAAGGCATGTTTTGACCGCACCCTGGGAGAGATCCGCAGAGTGTCGAATAATACACGCCTGCATAAACAGAATTTTCGGAGATCCGCGCTTACTTTTGGGATCTGCGCTGGGCCCCCATGGCGGAGTCCCCGACACCACGCCTGGTGGGTTCCCCTCGCAAAGGGAGAGGAGGGGGGGTCCAGCGCCGATCCAAGGAATTTGCGCGTGATTCCGACAAATTGCACTCATGCAGTTGCTTCTTCCTCTAACCTTGAAAGGTCTTTAGACCCCCCATTAAGGGGGAAGCTATTTTTTCGGAGGCTG